TCTTGTTTTTTTTAATTTTTTTAGTACAGTGTCTTCTGGCAAAAATGAAAAGGTGAGAATTCTTCATTTTAATAATTTTTCCTGATACGTATACATGTTCTTATGTTGTGTAGAAAGTTTGAGCATATTTTGATTAAATTTAGATTTTTTATGAATTTTTAAAGTTGCTCAAAAATTGAGCCAAAATCCATGTACTTATAGTACAGTGTCTTTGGCCAAATTTTGGCAAAAATGAAATCTTCATTTTAATAATTTTTCCTGATACATATACACCGTACATGTTTTTATGTTGTGTAGAAAATTTGGGCATATTTCGATTAAATTTGGATTTTTTATGAATTTTTAAAGTTGCTCAAAAATTGAGCCAGATTAAGTGTCTGTGCTAAATTTTGTCAGTAATGGCCAGGAAGGAATTTTCTATCTTTATAATTTTTTCTGATACATCATACATATTTTATGTTTTCTAGAAAGTTTTAGCAGATAGCAGACTCCAAGTAGAATTAGATTTTTACAATTTAAAAGAAATTCCTACAAATTTATGTGCAATAGTAAATGCCATGTAACACTATCATTACTTTTAGTGCAATAATTAAACTTTCCATGTGTGATGTGATTGATATAATGTCTAACTGAATTTTTAAATGACATGCACGTACATGTACAATGCATCTCAAAATTTTCTTAAATTTGTTAAAGATTACATGATTATCATTTTGAATTTTACCATGCAGTAAAGAAGCTCCAAGAAGAAAAGAATGAATTGGGTCAACAGTATGCAGCAAAAATAGATGTAAGTAGGCATGAAATTTTAAATTTTAATTAATAAAAATAGCTTACTTAAATTTGAATTTCACAATAAGATTTAGATAAGTTACATACATTTATATTATTATTATTATTAGGTATTAGAAGAAGTACAGAAAGAGGAGAGAGATACTCTGACACTTAAACTGTCACAATTAGAGATTGGTTTGAGAGAAATAGAGACACAATGGAAAGAGAGTGAGTAATAGTCTGTCACATGTAATGAGATTTAGAACTAATTTTATGAATTTCTCATGCTATAGAGTATCGTGGGGACATTGAATTAGAGCAACAAGAACTGTACGATGAGAATCAAATGCTC